GTCGGGGTGGGGGGGGGGTGCAGCTCCTGGTGGCCCAGCATGAAGCTGGGTGGGGTTGCGTGCGATGACTGGGGGTGGTGTGTGTATGTGAGAGTGTGTGTGTATGCGTGTGTGTTTGCGTGTGTGTGGTATTGCAGGAGGGGCCGTCGCACGGGGGACGATTGGAGGAGTCAAAAAGTGAGGATCGGCGAGCGGGCGGGGCAGGGGGTCTCCCATGAGCCAACCCCTGTGAGAGCAGGAGGCGGGCGGGCCGCCGCCAAGGGACCCAGGACGGGAGCTCCTATGTCGCGGGCGCCGTGCTCGCAGGCTATGGGATGACCCCTTGGGCCCTGAGCCCGGGCTCGTGCTCGACATAACCCTGCGTACAAAAACAAAAGGGAAGCGTGTGTGCACACACGCACACACGTACACGCGCATGCGCGTGCACACACACACACACACACACACGCACACACGCAAGCACACGCCCACCTCATGTTTGGCAGCGTGCCGTATAGCCCCTTGTTGTTTGAGAGGTCCAGGGTGACCAGCTGGCTGAGCACACCCAGGCCGGAGGGCAGGGTGCCTGTCAGGGAGTTATTGCCCTGGGGGAGGAGGCGGGTGAAGAGAGCGAGGGTAAGGGTGAGGGAGAGAGAGATGGGTGTGTTTGTTGCGTGCGTGTGTGTGTGTGTGTGTGTGTGCGTGTGTGTGTGTGTGTGTGTGTGTGTGTGTGTGTGTGTGTGTGTGTGTGTGTGTGTGTGTGCGTGCATGGGTGTTGGGGGGCAAATGTGTAGCTAGCGGGCTGCGAGAGGTGCTCAAGCGCAGGGAGGTGCAGGGTGTAGGCAGTTTCGAGTCAAACCTCTCAGCACGCACCGCACTGGCCGGGCTTGCACGGCGTTTGCAAGCCGTGACACTCGTCATCAGCGCTGCCGCGTCTCGCGACCCCCCAAAAACCACCCCAAACCTCTCCGACCTACATCCCGCAACCCCGCTAGCTAAAAGATGATGCCCCTCCTCCCTGTCCTTTCCACCCAGCTTCAACAGACAATGCCCCAATCATCGGCCCCACCCCACCCCCCCCCCCAAAAACCCCGATACTCCCAAGCATGCCCCCACAACCCACCAGCAGGAGAAAGTTCAGCACGTAAGCGCTCTGGTTGATCTGCTCAGAGATTGTGCCAGTCAGCCTGGCGACGCCGCGGTTATGAAAAGGGAGGGGGCGCGGTTGGAGAGAGCGCGAGGGAGATGCCGTGGAAGGGGTGGAAATTGAAAAGAGAGGCCTGCGCAGACCGCCCGCTGTGGTTGCTGCTTTCGTACGATGGTTCCGGAACCAGCATGAGCCATGCACAGAACAAAGTGGCGCCACTGGGGGGAGTCGAACCCGGGCCCGGGGACACGCATCGCCACGCAACGCCCCGCGCCCTGCCTGTTGTTCTGCAGGTCGACCATGTACACGCTCGGCAGCCGCCACAGGCCGTCCGGCACCGTCCCGGTCAGCCGGTTGTTGCGCAGCCGCACGACCGACAGCTGGCGGTTGTCCGTGCCGATGGGCAGCGGCCCAGTCAACATGTTGTCCTTTGCCAGGGCAGGAGGGCGGCAGGGGGCCACCGGGTGAGCTGCTGAGTGTGGGTCGCTGCGGTGGGAGCCGCGCCACGCCAAATGCTGGAGCCGGCCAGCTCGAGCTGGCCACAAAAGTTTCACGGCCCCCAGAGAGGGTTGGTGCCCACTGCTTTGCCGGCCGATGACTGCGCCGCGGTCACGCCGCCGCACGCGTGTGCTCGCATGTGCGTGCGGCCAAATCTCGCCCTGTGGGTATCAAAACCCGCCAGCCGGGGTCAGCCGCCCCTCGCTTACGCCCTCTCAACAGGACGTATCAAATCCGACGCACCCGCTCGCTCACGCCGCCACAAAGTTTGCACGCACAACTTCACACCAGGAACTTCACACCTGCATGTCCAGGAAGAACAGCGCCAGGCAGTCGCGAAGGTCCGGCGCGCCCCACAGCCCGTTGGCGCGCAGATTGACGTGCCGCAGCGGGCTGCGGCCGTCGCGGCGGCACCACTCCACGCCGCTGACGTCATCGCTCAGGTTGTTGAAGCTGAGGGAGAGGTCCTCCAAAAAGGGCATCGCCGAGAGGTTCCGCGGAAGTTTCCCGCTGAAGTCTGGGGGCCGCCACGGGAGAAAAGGTCGGCCGCAGGGGCGCGAGGAGGCGTGCGGGGCAGCGGGGCGAGGCGCGGCTGGTCGGCGGGATTGCCGCCTGCGCGATCCGCTGCCGAAGGGGCGCTGAGCTTCGCCAGCAAAGCAGGGCCTTTTCTGCAACCCTCTCCGGCTGCCGCGTCGAGTTGCGCCCCCACAAGCCAGCTGCGCCGCCGCCCCCCAGTATGCGTTGCAAAACCGCCGCCCAACTCCCCTTCCGAGTGCCCTGCTGGCCACTCGCTGCGGCCCTCGCACGCCCGGGGGCTGCATGGCACGACCCCACAGCCCCCATCCACCCCCAC